ACTATCACAAACCAAAACATTTTTCCTTGCTCTCTTGTATACACAGGTCGCACACGTATTTTCTCAAAGTTTGGAATATTTGTTAAAATTTATTGGGCCTACAATTAAAATTTGGGCGCCTAAAACTGCATTATGCTTGTCTAGTTCTGGCGTCTAAAACCCAATTTTTTTAGTGCCTCTAAATCCAGCCTCTAGTCATGACTATCAACACGAAGCGTGGTTAACGGTGTGACGATGAGAATATCCCACGTAACTTTCATCAGCCTATTTCCCAGAGTCGAATAAAACCTGTAGTTAGCTAGCTGAATTACAGGAATACAAAAGTAATGTTTGTTAAACTGCTATGAAGCGGAGTAAACATTGGAGCCACAATTCACGTTAACCCGGCAGGATGTCTGCGTCATAAGTGTAAACAAATGACGTTTATTGCTTTGTTATAAAATTGAATAGTCACCACTGCATCCACTATTGCAGTTTCACCGACCTTACGCCCGCATAGTGTATTTTCCAAAGCATTTTTAAGAGAGGACATGACACTGTGGCAAGATACCTGATTGCACCGCAGACTGCTTGGGCTCGACTCCTGCTTAAATGCTGATCTTTATTCTTTGCTTTCTTCGAGTCTACGCTGCCGATGTCAGTTTCAGTCAATGCTCTAAATTATAAGTCACTAATATTTGTCCTTGCTACTCTGGGATCACCGAGATATAAACTTTCAATCACCTGTGGCGCATACCGGCGTAAAGCGGCCCTTGGTATACGAGTATGAGCCACACGTGTTTGTAAGAAAGGACTTGACAACGTATGCGACAAAATTTTCAAGTTATTCATGTTGTGACCAAGCAGCTTCAAGCTCTGTTAGTTTCTCGTATCCAAGTTTGGTCTACAAAAAAAATATATAGACAGATAGATAAATATATAGATTATACAATTTTCTGGCCTTCATGTATCGCCTGAAAAGCGCTTTTGAAGTGATTATCGCTAGAGTACTCGCGCCGATGCGGAAAAGTGTGCTAAATCTTGAAAGGAGACACTTGCTGTCAAGGATCACAGTAAAGACCGTTCATTAATTACAATTCATTATTATCTACGAGTAGTTGTACTATTGTTGATGCCAAAAGCTTTACCGATGGTAATTTAGAGGTCTTTATGAGGCTGCGGCCCAGAGAAACAATGTATGAAAATGTACGTCAGCTTTCTTGTGGTTCACGCTAATTTCATATTTTTTTCTGGCAATACGACTTTCGGGTGCTAATATTTTTGGTGACTCCACGAAATTCAGATCACCGAGGTTTTTACTGTATATGTGTTAACTGGGCAAACACCACCACTTGCCAACGGTTAACTGAAAATGACACGGAGAATACAGGTGTGGCAAACGTCGATTATTATGTTTTGTGGACAAGTGTATCGTGGGAAGGCAGACAAGGCAACGCATGCCACCAAACGAATTCTGGGGCAGACGGGCGTGAGAAGTGTGCTGCTTAAGTTGCAAACTTAAAATAAGAACACGCTATGTTGAAAGAAGATTTTCCGGACAGCGATTTCAACTTTAGTCGCGCTCTGCGTGACTGCTGTTTTTGTTTCAAAAGCTCCCTGACTTCTGTGTCATGTTTCTAACGGCTTACTTCAGCTTCGCAGAGTAGGATGCCTCTCACTTTGTTGTTTCTTACTCTGCTGCTCTGAGGTCGTCATTTGCTATAATTATGAACAAACACTTGAGCATTATTTTAAAGTTGTGGTTCAATTTCAGATTGTATTATTGTGCTACATATACCCGAAACTCTTCGAAAAAAAATGGTGGCCATATTCACTAGCTAAATACTAACCGTTGATTTGTGCTAAAAAGTGGCGATCTCTTGATGACTCAAGGTAGCAAAAATCAGGTTAGAGAGATTGGCTACGTGGTACGCTATAAATTAGCCACACTAGCGATGCACTGTTCAAACACAATGAAAGACGCGTACAGACACACAAACAAACGAACGTAGTACACGACACGTGTCAAGTTTGCAGAACCTACTTGCCCCAACTCTAACCCTTCTACAAACCAGTATAGAATGCAAACATGTAAAATAGTCAACACAAATGTCTAAAATTACGCAGTGTGACGCCCAAACTGCCAGAGTTAACACTGTCGAAATTTGGGCTTGTTGGTGCATTGTGACGACAGAAAATAGCGCAAAGAAACGAGGACACAAGACGAGGACACACGGCACAGGCGCTAACTTCCAACATAATGTTTATTACCACCGCGCACTCGCTTATATCACCAAGAAAAATAACATCACATGGCATGAATGATGCGCACAAAAAAGTAATTTCTTAGAAAATACAATTCTTTATCACTGAGCGTAAGAGAGGGAGTGCTGACGCACTTAGACCCCAGTGAAGCGATAGCCTCAGCCTCAATAATCTCTTTAGTAAGCTTGTCAAACATTCTCTTGATAACTGTGCATGCATTGAATATCAGCGCGCAGCCGCAGGATTTACAATGTATGGCCAATCAACTTCACTGGCCGTTTTTCACATTATTACAATGTTCTCTTAATCGATCATTAAGACAACGGCCCGTCTGTCCAATATACTCTTTACCACAAGAAAGCGGGATACGATAAACAACGCATATGATACAGGGAAGATAAACAGTTCGATGCTTCTTACTACAACCTTTGGGTTTTCCGTCACGGTCATGAAGGCCACACAGGCTGACCAACTTCTTTGGAGCCGAAAAGACAACCCTAACTTCAGAGCGCTTAGCTAATTTCTTTAGGTTGTGCGATATCTTGTGATAGTATGGTATGACGACTAGGTGCTTCGGTTTCTCTGAGTCACTACTCGCTGTACATCCTGGGTTGTGAAGCATACGAAGCAAGCCTTCTGCAACTGAAGTTTGGACGTGCATAGAATAACCTGCTTTCAACAAACGGTCTGACTGATTATGAAAACTATTGGCGATTTCGTGCTCACAAGATTTGCTTAAAGCATGACGAAAACAATGACTGATGATGCCTCTTTTAACTAGTTTGGAGTGAGCTGATTGGTAAGGAAGGACCGGTTTGTTCATACGTGGTTGGTAAGCCCAACATATGCGGTTAGGATGAAAGGTGAAGAGGACATCGAGGAATTGTATGGCCTGTGCCGTGTGTCCTCGTCTTGTGTCCCCGTTTCTTTGCGCTATTTTCTGTCGTCACAATGCAAGAGTGAACTTTGCTGTTCAAAACGAAACAGATCTGAGCATGCGCAGCGTGAATGATCACCATGTCTTCTTTAGCCGTCGGAACAATATAGCGCTGAAAAAAAAAGAGTGCAATCGCCCAGATCGGCACATTTTATACTGCGAACTTATTCGCAGTTCGTAGTATTATCCTACCAGGAATAGTTAAATTCTTGGCGCTTATTGTTCTTTTTTTTTTTTTTTGCTTTTGCGCTGAACCGTGCAGAGCGTTTTCGGCGGCCAAAGCGGTCGTTCACCCGCCGTGATAAACAAAGATAAAAAACGAAGGGAAGGGTGTCGTCGGCGCCGCGCCTGCTCAGATGCGATGTACCGACTTGATGTGCCTCATGCAGTTTCGAGCGCGACGCTCTGTCGTTCTAGGCGTGGGCGCTGACCACTGTGCCCACTCTTCCTATCGTTTCTGCAGAGTGCATAGCTGAAACCTAAGCGGACGGTGACCTAGATGATCGTGGGGCTTGCACAGAATCTGCTCTTCGCAATATGCTACGAGCACAGCATAGCTTGAGCTGCACAATATCCTAATTAGTTCACCCCCCCCCCGTCAACTATCTGTCAGAAAGGAGGTGAAGCGAATGAGCATGTGATGATGTGTTCATGAAAACAACGAAAATATCGCAAACTAACCAATAATATGCATGTCCGTGCTACCAAAGAAAGCTGTCATCAATATGGAAGGAACGAACGAAGAGAATCGATGGAGAGCGTTAACAAAAACAAAGGCAACCAATGCGATGGTGCATGTTTTCGTTCAGCACTCATCCGTGCCCATGAAACAGTCGAGATTGAGGTTCAAATAAATTTAAGAAAAATGTCAGCCGCTGCTCAAAGAAGGCTGGTGGGCAAAGTGAGCATGAGTGGAGATGTGGTAGCTTTATGATAATGATTATTAATATACAGCTCGTGCAATGAGATTGGTGCGTCTTTCATGCCATCCTTATGAAAGGTATTTCTTCATCCCGAAGCTCGCGTGCCCTGTCGTTATGGCATTCCCTTTATTTTCTGCATATTTGGCTCCACTACGTTATTCATGTGTGAGCAATGCCAACAAAGTACTTGTGTATTTAATTCCGCATTTATGAGCGTTTGCATTACATGTACGTCCTCCTCATTAGAACATGGCGCATCAGGGTGTGCGCAAACTAGTAGGACCATACTGTAAGAGACCTCATGTCGTACGCAGAAGCCACAAACCAAACTTACACGTCTCCGTTATAACTAATTGCATATTTCAATAGAATACCCTAACCTTCGTTGTCCGTGGTGGTGTAGTGGTTAGGGTGATCAGCTGTTGGCCCGAAGGACACGGGTTTGATCCCGCCTCGACGATCGCATCTCGATAGAGTTGAAATGCTAGAGGTACGCGTCCTGTCAGGGCACGTTAGGAAACACCTGATGGTCGAAATTTCCGGAAACCTCTACTACGGCGTCTTTCATGATATTAGCGTGGTTTCGGGAGGTTGAACTCGAGACATTATTAACGTGACCTTCAGGTTTTCGTGCTCTATTTACTGCTATACGTAGGCCGTGAAATGTTCCTCCTGCTTCAGCGTTTTTGAAAACAGTGGCATACGCATGCAACTTCAAATGCGTATATGTGTGGAACTTGAGGTCGTGTGACTTTCTCCGAAATATACTCGCGCTGCATCTGCCCTGCATGCTTTTACCGTACACGTCTTTGCTTGGCATTTTTTTTACAAATTCTTCGCCTCGAGTGCTACTTCCTCGGATAGAAGAAAGCGACGCGTACGAACATTGCACGCAGCCGAGTGGAGCTCTCGAGACAGCGGCCCCGCTTCTCGGCCAGCTGGCTACCCATCACCGCACTCGCCACACGGCGGAACTCCCGGGTCGGCAGCGGGAGGGGCACCGCCCTACCCTCGTCCGGGTCCGGGCCAGGGTCCCGCCAGGCCTGCCACCGACTGCGACCAGACGTTCACGGCGCTCGAGATGACGGTGCAGAGTCCCAACTTTCCGGGTCCTTATCCGGCGCGCACCATCTGCCGCTACGTGGTTCGCCGCTATGACAGCGCCACGTGTGCCCTCGAGGTGCTCTTCACCCGCTTCGACATGGAGCACAACCCCGACTGCCAGTACGAACACCTAGAGGTGGACGGTCGCAAGCTGTGCGGCACGCTACCCGAGAACAGCGTCCGTGAGTGCACCCTCGAAAAATTCTGAGTTCGTTCACGGGTGTTGACGCGCCATAAATCAGTCAGTCGATCATGCTTAATTTTTAGTAATTCAGTGTACCGTCAGTGCCAAAATAGAGGCCAAAGAAAAAGCTCCGTTTGCGCAGCTTGGCTAATTTCTGATCACTAGTACAGTAGCAGTCACAAGACGAAACGTGTAAGCGAATCTAGGAGCAAAATATGCAGTACTATTACAAAGAATAGTTGTATAGTTAATGTGGTGGTATTAAGGTAAACAACATATGTTTAATGTTCAATCACTTCAACAAATTTGGCGAACGAACAAGCTTACATGTATATACAGATGAGTAGCTAGAAAAAGTACAGACAGAGGTCCCTACCAATTCCTGCGTAGCTGTACTGTGAAACATTGTTCAATAGAATGCGCCTGATTTTCTTACGTTCTGCGGCAATCTGTTTCGTGGCATGCATGTGGCACGATGTCACTGCACGTTAAACAACTCCAGATGATTCAAATGTCCTCCGCTGCGCAAATGGAAAACTTTTAAGCAATAGAACTATACATTCACAAGAATGAGAGGGAAAAGATTGGCGAAGGTCTTGTTCTTGCGCACGAAAAGTTTCCTTTTGCGATGCTCTATCTTGCCGAATTTCAAGTTTTACTAAACCCTCCACTACGGGGTGTCTCGTAATCATATCTTGGTTGTGGTGCGTACAACCCTCAGACATCATTATATTACTATCGCGGCGTGACGCTACACGTGCATGCACTACAAGAAAAATAAAACAGTCATTTGATTTTTTTTAGTTCATGCCACGTATAAGATATTCTCTGAACAGACGCGTGAGCTCTCGTAAAAGATCTCTTGGTAGAGATGTGAGGTAATTAAAAAATAAAGCTAACACGTCTCCTTGAAGGGAGTCATATACATCGAAAGCCATGACTCATTGAAAGGAGTAGCACATACTGTTTTTTTTTCTTCCTTGAAATTTACCCTTATTATCACCAGAATGCAGGTGCACCGAACCAGGCACTGAACAACTGTGTTGTCTAAAACTTATCCACAAATAGATAATAATGTATAAAAAGAAGTTATTCGAGACCAAGCCTATGGAGTGAGCCAAAACAGATTCACACTGGGTTCACGAGATACGTATGCAAAACTATCGAGCACAATATAGACTACGACATGCGCACAAAAAACGGAGGCAAAGTTTGTTACAATAACGCCAGGTAGGTTAAAGTTGCCTGATGTTAGGAGTGTCTGCTGACTTCGGTAAATAAGTATAGACCAACACTTTTGGTAATATTCTGCTCATTTGATGGCTTCTCTCTTTGAAGTAGGGGCTTCCAGCCTCCCCGAACTGTAGTAATTCACCTACAAAGGACATTTGCAGAGTAAAAACGTATCTCTTCGCCTCTGAAAATTTTTATTCTAGGGCTTATTTATTACTCCAACGGTGTTTATACGTTGAATATCAAGTCGAAGGAGTAGTTCTGTTTCCTACTACTTCTTTGTTGTGTCTTTTGTTTTGATGTTTGTACTAGCGTGCATCACGTTCACGAACGTACAGGCGCTCTCAGAATCATTTAAAACGCTGCACAAGCAGCCACTTGCCTCTGTAGCGCGCTGACGAAAAAGTACTTTGATAGGTGGCACGTGCACGGCCTCTCTGAAAGACAAGCGTCACCCTCTACTGCGAGTAGACTAGCGTACCAATGCAACAGAATGGTAGCACTAGGTGCCCCTCAGCGCTTTCCTATAATGGGGGCACGGCGATTGGTGTGTGTGACAAACTGTGTGTGCGCATGCATGGCGTTGCAACATACGCAGTCATGTGTGCATCTCTGTTCGTGTGCATCGGTGTTTTGTTTTTCTTCCTTCGCTACGTTGGGCCGTGACTATTGTCACACCAGAATATTTACGGGAGGTAAATATGCCTATAGCCCTGGCGGCATTTTCCTCTGATGCGACAATGAGCGCATCGGCGGCAGACAGTTACGTTTAGATTCTTCATTTTGTGTGAAAAAATGAACAGTGTTCCCCCTCTTATACAAATAAATTTACCATGATGCTATTTATTTTGCATTTAGCTTAGACGCACTATCGTTCTCCAGTGTTGTACCTCCGAGCAAAAGACCATGAATGTCTGTGCCCACAAACGATGACACGTGAACACGTGATCAAAATGAAAAATACTCGTTGCCAAGCGCACAGAGTTTGTCATTGATTGGTGCGCAAATATATGCAAAGTACGGTATGTGGTGAGCAAATAAGAAACTCTGGTGTCGTGCAGAGCTTATTACAGTTCGCAAGAAATCGTTTCTCTGCATGAAACTGGCTTTGAGAAACACGCCGCCCTATTTTATTTTGTGAAATGTTTTAATGCTGCTATGGCAGACACACCTGTCAGGTCATGTAATAAAACAAGTTGTCCTCAAATAATCAAACTAGTGGAAGCATGGTTAGGTAGATGATTAAAGCAGGAATTAATATTTCTGAAAACGAAGTAACGTGGTTGTAAGCAAACATCGATGCCGTTGTAGCCATGCCGCCTTACTTGCACGCAGTCTCCCACAATGAATGCAGATAATCATGAGGGCACACCACATTTCATAACTAACAGTGTGCGGCATGCTCGAGATCTCTATCCACCCAGGCCTGTTCGCCATAACACTGAAAAGCACCTAGCGCTACCCTTTTAGAGCGAGACAACTTAGATGTACTAGGGAGATATACTTGCAGACCACGCATGCGCAGACATAAGCGGTATTTATCCACCAGGGCGCTCCACCAGCGAGCGGTGGCGTGATCAAGGTCACGAATTAGCTTGAGGGCACCTGTACGTTTCAGTAACTATAGTTACTGTATACAGAGAAACAGGGCGACTGAGGCAGACGAGACGACCGTGGCTGACTGGTTTCATTCACGTTGTCGTGAATAAGTGCCTGCGGTGAAAGAGGTGTCTTTGCTTACAGCGCGCCACAGCGGTGTACAGTCAAGGCAGGTGACAGAAGATGACTGTGTTGAAGCCGGCAAGCGCTGATCGTTTTTTTTTTTTCCTCTTTCCACGCCATGCAGAGAAGTTTTCCTTCTACCAACCAGAAACCGAGAAAGTGCTGGTGTTCCGCTCTGACCAGGGCAGCCCTCGCCAGGGCTTCTCTATCCGCATCCGTCAGGTCACCGACTGCGCCGGTGCTTTCTCCTGGATGCCCGGACAGGACAAAGGTATATGGCAGCATGAGCGGCCAGCCAACAATTGTCGTTAACTGAGAAAAAAACTATTACTTTTTTGTTTTTATGAAGCCTGCACATTGCACATGTAAAGAATGTTTGTATACGTACAGTGTACACGTTTAAATAGGTCCACAGGGAGTATTGAAAGGGATGATCAGCTGGTACATTTACACACGTCTGCTTTGCACTTGCCATTTGGTATTTCATTAGTGACTGACCGTTCACCACAACTGTTTTACAATCGTGTCCGTGCCTAAAATGAACATAGTATCTTATTTTCATCTCATTCATCATCCGCCTGTGCGTCAGAAAGAGCAGCTGTGAATGTTGTGATGAAAAATTCATTACTGACGAACACTTAAAGCAAGCTTTGTGAGATGAACCTGGATAGGTTGCGCACTGCCTTTCCATTCACTCTGCCACTCACACGCTCCTCAGGCAAAAGTACCTGTCACCGGCAAAGGTGGCAGATGATAGGGACTCTATCAGGCAATTCTATTGACAATCGTCGCACGCCTTGCCCAACTGTACATGTGAGAACCATATTTTACCTGTCGAACGCAATGTTCTCTGAATACAATCAGCTAGCCTATTTTGACCGTTTCAATTAAGATTTCACGATCCTTTGTGCGTGCATGCAAGCAATCTACGTATCAGTGTTGAGTTTCCTTGATGGCAAAAAATGTTTAGATCACAATGAATTTTTATCTGCTAAACGCTGTCGTTTGGTGCAGCGAAAATTCAATAATTCAAGAGTGTGCAATTCGCGACTCCAACTAAACGCTCGCCACCTAGCGGCCGCACCAGGAAACGGCGCTAACAGGGTGAACCCTGAAAGAGCATGCCGCACGCGTGAGCCCCCCAAAAAAGACGAAAGCTATGTACAAAGATCATTAGAGTGTGCCGCAATGCGCGGCGTCGCGGTGGAAGCATGGCAACGTATCGTTCTGTCACTTCTTGAAAGCTGCAGACGACGCGCGGCTGAGAATGGTGCAAATTAGAAACTTGCTCATTCGAAAGCAAGTGATGGACACTACGGTAGTTTTTTTTTTTCTAATCAATTCGATCACGACAACTTAATTCTCCTCGGCGAGTAAATCAATACGTAGCGTGTGTACATGCCTAATTGTATTCGGGCTTCTCTTATATAAGCCAGCACTTTAGGAAATTTGTTGCGTTACACGTGTGAGTGTATTTTGCGCATATGCTCGTGTTCTGCGCAAGTTGTAGTGCTACCGATTTTGAAATTAAGCTGCGGCACAAATGCACGCACGAGGGTCGCGCGTCCGCGTGCGTGTATGTCTGCACGTATTACATCAGGTCCGTACATTTGTAACGTGCGTAGTGTACGTGAACATATATCTGCCTTGAATATCAACTACTGCCAACAGGAAGAAGTGGATGTTAGGAAGCACTTAACCTCATTCATTAAAAATGTAATAACATAGATCAGCGAACGAAAAGAAAGGAGCACTCCTATCAAAATCCATACTACAGTTTGCCATATCTTAAGATAAACTGGCCCAGGCATAGCTTCATTCTGTAACCATGTAAACTCAATGGGATACGAGCAATCCACAGCGTGAATCGCAACGTACTTACCTCCAAAACTGTCAAAGCCTTTCATTCAGCAGTTTAACAACGCAGGACAAAAGTGCTAGCACCTTTCAGAGAGGCCCTCTACGCATGCACAATCGCCTTCTTCAACCTCGGGCTCGCTAGACAGGTTCTTCGACTTGAAGTAAATCTCATGTGGCTCGCCGAAGAGGCTCGATGTTTGCGCGCACAGCGGAACGATTTTCGCTGCTTCGCCAGTGAAATACTTCATGCCGATAAGAATGATGCGGTCCGCGGACAGCACCTAGCTTTCGACGAAGCGACGTGATCCGACGCCACAATAGATAGACTTCAGCACAGCGCCAAGCGAAAGAGCCGCGTTGACCTCGTTCAGCGTAACCAACTTTCTTTTTTCGACCAGTGTTGCCAGTGCACGGAGCGTTTTATGGAGTTGCGAATAAGGAGTCTATGGCACGACAGCATTAGCTAGAGGTCGCAGATAGTGCATAATTAAACGAAGAGTGCCTAGTGTGGTACTATGTGCAAAAAACAAAAGCAGTTGCGTTGTACGAGACACAGCAGCCCCCCTCCTCGCCTGGGGGAAGACCAGCCATTTTGCAGGAAATGTTGAGAGTTCACACGCTCAAGGTAAGTAGGGCGAGAGAAAGGCCATGATGCAGGCAGTACTTCCGTTGGTATGATATCTTGAAAGAACACGCATATCGCAAATAAATTATTAGGAAAAAATAGCTAGGAGTGTATTTCGTTTTTCTTATTTGTGTAACACTGTCTGGAGTGTATCCAGCATTATTTGACCTACTTACATCAACTACAACGACCAGTGATTTGGTTGACGTGCAAGCTCGATGTGATGCTGTGATGCCCGACGGAAGGGTGCTTTTGTTTTTTGAGTCGGGTGGTTTACACAATGTAGTTTGTGTTTCGTTATCTAGTAGTAGCCGAGAAGCAGCAGCGCTCCCTACTTTTCACAACTTTTTCTGAAGTGTTTTTGTATGTCACTTTGTCTTTGTCGTTACCTGATTATATTTATTTCTGCTTGGTGACTGCACTGACGCCACCGACAAGCTACCTTTATAAACTATACACTCTTGTTTCACCTTTTTAATCTCTTGTCAAAACATTGCAGCAACGAAGCTAGTGCCTATAAAAGGCACCGGCGTTTCATTACAGAGTCATCATTTCTTGAGAAGTGACGAATAAAGTTATAGAGCTATAGAAGCGTCTACGTGGTGTTTTTTTTTTTTTTTTCGAGCAGTGCCCCCCGTGCCGCCGAATCCGTTGTGCGACTACTGCCAGAGGGAGCCCCGTGGTCAGCTCTCCAGTCCCAACTACCCGCAGCCCTACGGCCCCAATGCGCGCTGCACGTACCGTTTGGAGCCCGTGCCGGGCCATTGCCATGTGGAGATGTACTTCCACCACTTCGACGTCGAGAGCTCGCCGGGATGCATGAAAGATTACCTCGAGGTGGACAAGACCCAGCGCCACTGCGGCAACGACCTCAACAAGGCAATCCGTGAGTTCACTCAAACCATGACGTCAGCAATAACACAAAAAGATGGGCTGATTTGTAAGGCTAAATAATAGATATTACGGGCACAACGCACGAAAATAATGCAAAAAACTTCCCAAGGACTGACGCAATCCGCTGCCTCACTGCATGATCAACACCCATGCTTTCAGGGCATTTCTTCACTTCCTTCAAAACATTGGACAGCTGTCTATAGTTGATTCCGCGTCCTCGGCCACAGATGCTACTCTTATTTACTTACGCCATCTTTAATTCTTTGCTCCTCGTTCCGCTGCAGACACACAGACGTGCCTCCAATATATATATATATATATATATATATATACAAGGCAATATAATATTTACACATTATCTGTGCCTTTTTATAGCTTGTCGAGACAGCAGGGAAGGGGTCAGAAGAAAAGTATATACAACAACAACAAAAAGAAAATGAAAACGGGAGGAGAAACGTTAAAATAATAAAAAAGCCGCTGATTGAAACCTTCAAAAGGCACTTATTACGGTACATTCGGTGCCTTGTCGTTTCTACATGCTGCCGTAGATCCATAAAGTGGGACCCTGGCAGACCCATTATATCAGGCACGGGAACCTCAACGAAACCTATTTCCAGTTACATTGACTCTTTAATCAAATACATACCAGCCACACATGATTCCTTTTTGCGTGACACATGCCATTTCCTTCGGGAAATATCGGACGTAAAAATTCCAGATGGTGCATTTCTCGTAACATCGGATGCCAGTTCACTCTACACAAATACCTCACGTGACGATGGTGTAAGGGCACTTTTTGAATCGTATGGCACCTACAACCTTGACGCATATATCCAAGCAAAAAAGTAATTGAAATCTTAACAATACTTGAGCTCGAATCGAACAGCCTTGAATTTAACAATCAGTACTACCTTCAAATCAGCGGCAGGGCATTGGGTGCAAGAATGCCCCAAATTATGCTAACATATTCATGCACTATATAGAGTCCAATTTTCTTTCATCTTGTGATATCCATCCTTTAATCTATAAACGGCACCTAGACAATATATTCATGATTTGTACACATTCGGAAAACGAGCTGCTCTAATTCATACAGGTATTTAACCAAGTGCACCCCAGCATTTATTTTACACACTCCTACTCTATATACCCTGAAATAAGCTTCCTTGATGTACTTATTCGAATGGTCAATGGTGCGTTGGTAACTAGCGTATACAGAAAACTTACGGACAGGCAACAATACCTGCACTTCAAAAGCTGCCACCTGCGACTCTGCAAGACCACAATTCCCTATTCCCAAGTACACAGGTTCAGATGAATCTGCTCGCGCAGCGAGGACTTCCACAAAAACAGCACACATATGCGCAAAGTATTCCTTCATCAAGAATACCCACCAGCTATCATCGATGATGCCATCAAAAAAGCAGAAAATCTGGACCGCCAGACTCTTATAAACCACGAGAAAGATGCCGACCAGCGCCGCAACAATAATTTGCTTTTAACTTTCACGAGCAACCTAACAGACATAAACAAGGCCCTAAGAAAACACTTTAGCATATTGGAACAGAGCATGCGAATATCCAAAATTTTCACTTCGCCTCCTTGTGTGGTATAATGGCGGCCGAAAAGTATATAGGATCATTTAATAAGTTCAAAAATAGGCATGAAACCTCAAACAAGGTGTCGCCCTTGCGGAAAAAGCATATGCAAAGTATGCAAACACATGCAGACAACGACAGTGGCAGAAAACACCCGCTTGTATTTTAAGCACAGGACAAGTGGTGCACTAAACTGTTACTCAGACAATTCCATATACCTTCTAAAATGTGCGGTATGTAACATGCAATACGTGGGCCAGACAGACACTCCGTTTAAAATTAAATTCAACACCATCAGGCACATGTACGTTCCCTGCCGGCCTTCCACTTTCAAAACACAGCAAAAGAATAACCACAGCTTTGATGACATCATGGTTACACTATTGAAAAACAATTTTCGAAGAGTCAGAGAACGGGAATTAACAACGGGAATTTTACTTTATCTACAAACTCAACACGATAAAAAAGGAATTATTGAACACCCAGGCACTCTGTCAGCGTTACGATCACTAAAAGAAGCAAATGCTTCACAGCTCTGGCCAACTGGCTCACCCTACGCCATCTCCAGACGCCGACAAAAGCTCTTGCTGAGCGGTGCTCCGTCCTCGGACTCTTGCGACAGCGTCCATCTTTCCTATCTTCTTACCTCCGTATGTAGCTCTTCCTGCCCCTCTCTCTATCTCTATACCTTTGATTCCTCCCTATCCCTTTAATCCCTCTTTACCCCCATCTCTCGTGAGCTACTGTTGAGGTGTCCTCTCCCTGAAAGACAGTTACGAGGCTCACTTTTATCTTCTTTTGATACAAGAATCCCTCGCCCCTTCCCATTGCGACAATATTACCACCTAACAAAGCTGTAAGCGTATGCATCTGACAATATAGAATTGGTTTGCTGCTTCAAGCACTGCCAGAACGCACAGATAAGTGGTCCCGCGGATGTCGTACAGTCCCCCCCCCCCTTTTTTTTCTTTTTTTTCTTTTTCTTCTTCTTCTTTTCCTTCACTGACAGGAGCCAATGCATATAATGAATATTGATCGTGGCGCCACAATTACCGGCTCTTTTATATCTTTTGACGCCACCAACATGCACTTGAAGCGCTTAAGTTTCCCCCCATCAATTTGTCGTAAAATTCAAAGGTGGACAAGTCACCACCAGATTGCACGGGAAGAAACAATACTAAACGGGCGGTCGCACTGTCCACTTGAGAGAAAAGTGGGTGCGTGGGAGGTATTGTGGACAATAACGGCATGGCTCGTTTGCGTTCACCTTACTCTCTTGAGATGCTGTCCCTTCCTAATCCCTTTGAACTGTTGCAGTTTGGGCTAGGTGGTATGGCATGACGATAGTTATAGCGCGAGAACAGAACAATGACAAAGAGATCCTTTTGTCTTTTTTGTCTTTTTGTCGTCGTTCGGTTCTCGCGCTATAACGATCGTCATTCCTAATCCCGTCGTGTTTCTCTTGCTTCTCCTAGATTTTTTATTATTTTAAACGTTTCCCCCCGTTTTTTTTTCTTTTTGTTGTTGTTGTTCATACTTTTCTTCTGACCTTTTGCCTCCTGTACGAAAAGCTAGAAAAAGACACGAAAAATGCGTAAATATTGTTATGCCTTGAAAAAGACGGGGCTCCCGTTGAAACGTCAGCTGAATAAAGAATTGTTATGCGAAAGCGCATCTACTTTTAATATATATATATATATATATATATATATATATATATATATATATATATATATATATATATATAATATATATTATTATATATATATATATAGGCAGGCATGGTGGTTGAGTGGCCATAGCGTTGTATATAGTCCAGTAGATCCTCCGTGAGCGGTCACAACGTGGTTTATTTCGACGTTTCGGCCTAGAGTCTGGCCTTCATCAGGATTAAAGATAGTTTGTCGGTGCTCAGCTTTATACAATCTAAAATCAGAGGGTGAGGAAAGAGGGAAAAATGACAGAGAAGGAAAAAAGGAAAAAAAAGAAAGAAAAAGAAGAAAAAGAGAAGAAGAAGAGAAAAATGATATACGGTGGACGCCCCTCGGGTGCCCCCCTTCCACTCTTCCTTCCACTTCCCCCTTCATCTCTCTCCCCCTTCTCCCCTTCACCTTTCTGATGTCAGTGGTCTGTGTATGTTTCCGTTCACTAATGCATTCCTCCCGATCAGACGGCCCCTCCTGGCACTGGCGGTTTGGTGTGGGCCAAAAAGAGCTTTTCAGGAAGTCCTAAGCCTTTAACTACTCGGGGTTCCTGTAAACAATACGTCGTAGAAGGAGGGGTGCCGCGTATTGTGGCAGAGGCTGGTAAGCGGGCATTTTAGGAAGTTCTAAGCCTTTAACTACTCGGCGCCCTGTCAACATTTCGTCGTAAATATAGGGGTGCCCCGTATTGGGGTAGGCTGTGCAAGCGGGTTCAATGCGAATTCCTTGCCCGCTTCTGGATTGCGCGTGTAGTGGGGGCCTCCCGGCTGTACACAAGGTTGTTGTTGGGCATGTCTTAACGCTTCTTGGACTGTCACCACCCCTCAAAAAGATTCACCGATGTTGGCCGGCTTTCGCGGTGAAGACGTTGAAGACTGGTTGGATGAGTACGACCGTGTGAGTGCGCTTAACTATTGGTATGATTCTGTGAAGCTGTCCCGCATACCGTTCTACCTGACGGGTGTCTCTGTCTCTAAGACATGGTTTCTCAACCATCATACATGCCCAACGGCAACCCTGTGCACAGCCGGGAGGCCCCCACTACACGCGTAATCCAGAAGCGGGCAAGGAATTTACATTGGACCCGCTTGCACAGCCTACCGCAATACGGGGCAACCCTCTTTTTACGACAAAATGTTGACAGGGCGCGGAGTAGTTAAAGGCTTAGAACTTCCTAAAATGCCCGCTTACCAGCTTCTGCCACAATACGCGGCACCCCTCCTTCTACGACGAATTGTTTACGGGACTCAGAGTAGTTAAAGGCTTAGGACTTCCTGAAAAGCTCTTTTTTGCCCCACACCGAACCGCCAGTGCCAGGAGGGGCCGTCTGATCGGGAGGAATGCATTAGTGAACGGAAACATACACAGACCACTGGCATCAGAAAGGTGAAGGGGAGAAGGGGGAGAGAGATGAAGGGGGAAGTGGAAGGAAGAGTGGAAGGGGGGAACCCGAGGGGCGTCCACCGTATATCATTTTTCTCTTCTTCTTCTTATCTTTTTCTTCTTTTTCTTTCCTTTTTCTTTTTTTTTCCTTTTTCCTTTTTTCCTTTTCTGTCTTTTTTTTCTCTTTCCTCGCCCTCTGATTTGAGATTGTATAAAGCTGATCACCAACAAACTGTATCTTTAATCCTGATGAAGGCCAGACTCTAGGCCGAAACGTCGAAATAAACCACGTTGTGACCGCTCACGGA